TATTGAAAGTAGGGAAATTATTCAATTCTTGAACTTCCCACTTCAACGCCTCCGTTTCATAAGATTTTATTTGATAGCCTTTATTTTGAAAAATCAATGTTTTAATTAGTGATTTTTTTCAAGAATATGTGGTTAAAAAATTGATTTTTTTTTTAAAATTTATGTGCAAAATATTTTATTATGTGAATGTGTAATTAAAAATGAGAATATGAATTAATGAGTTTTGAAATAATGGCTATCAAACAGATGCAAAATTTATAAATTTCTTATAGAAATGAATATTAGTAAATTTCACGAAATATATAAGTAATAAATGAGTAATAATTAAAATGTGTTATTCAAAGTAATGTTCGTCTTTGACTAAATTTATAAATTAAATTTCGAGTTAGGTTTGATTGATGCATTGGGGAAAGCTGTACAAGATTTTTAGGAGGGGGATCGACATATCATTTTCTCATTGAAAGTTGATAAAAAAAAAAAAAAAAGAAACAGAAAAAATGCAACCACACATGTTCTCATTTCAAGCTCCCACATGGATGGGTACAGTTATGACATATTTATTTCGCTAGACTAAGAAACAATAATCCCATGTTTGTCTATCATTATTCAAAAAAATTGTTTACTACAGTAAGATTTTCCACACAAACCAATAAAGTTATTTTAAATTTCAACTATACATTCTCCAAAAAATACTATTCATTACTCTATTTTTCTCCCAATAATGGGAAACAAACACATCCTAAATAAAAACTACGAAAAATTAAAAGTTCATCTCTCATCTTACTCGGTGAGAAAATGCCTATTATTCGAGAGAATTAAGCTATATAGACATTCTTCTTGACATTATTGTCGACATTTCCTCTATATGTTAAAATATGGCCAACGATGTGATAGACTGTTGTAGGAATCAACGACTATGATAAACGCCATATGGAAGAGTGTCGAAGTTAATGTAAATTAAAACGTGCATATAGCATCATTGTAGCCAAGAAATGTAGGCTTCTAAGCTGAGAAATGCTTACCACATAATATCGATGGACGCGTGGTCCCAATAATTCCACGTGCGCATAAGGAACAAGAATTCGTGCTCATAACTTTATTTGTCTTGTTGTAGGTAAGTGAAGACCCTTGCCAACTAATTATCTTAGAGTGAATGTTATTCATAATGAGGATTATCAGTTATCAATAACATTATTCCGATTTTAAACTAAAAGTAGGGATGTTAAATGAGACAAGCCAAGCACGAGCTGGCTCAATAATTGACTCGACTCACCCCACCAACTCACTTCTTGTTGGGCAAACTTAAACGACTTACAAGTTACTTGTTGCTCGTGTATTTTTTTTTACTGAAAATTATATTTTTGCTCCCTAACTCATGAGCACAAAAGAGGTTTTCACTATTTTACTCGTCTCGAGGACAAGTCGAGATAGCTTGGCTTGAATTGGTTTTGGTGTTTTATCTTATTTTTAAAATCTAAGTCCCTATCTGGCTTAGTTATAAATTATATTTTCAGTAGATTTTGTCAAAAAATGATAAAAGTAGTAGGTCTCTTGAAATATTTAGTTAAAATTATTTACTCTCTATTTTTCTTCCAATAATGGGAAACAAACACATGCTAAATAAAAACTACGAAAAATTAAAAGTTCATCTCTCATCTTACTCGGTGAGAAAATGCCTATTATTCGAGAGAATTAAGCTATATATACATTCTTCTTGACATTATTGTCGACATTTCCTCTATATGTTAAAATATGGCCAACGATGTGATAGACTGTTGTAGGAATCAACGACTATGATAAACGCCGTATGGAAGAGTGTCGAAGTTAATGTAAATTAAAACGTGCATATAGCATCATTGTAGCCAAGAAATGTAGGCTTCTAAGCTGAGAAATGCTTACCACATAATATCCATGGACGCGTGGTCCCAATAATTCCACGTGCGCATAAGGAACAAGAATTCGTGCTCATAACTTTATTTGTCTTGTTGTAGGTAAGTGAAGACCCTTGCCAACTAATTATCTTAGAGTGAATGTTATTCATAACGAGGATTATCAGTTATCAATAACATTATTCTAATTTTAAACTAAAAATAGGGATGTTAAATGAGACAAGCCAAGCACGAGCTAGCTCAATAATTGACTCGACTCACCCCACCATCACTTCTTGGTGGGCAAACTTAAACGACTTACAAGTTATTTGTTGCTCGTGTATTTTTTTTTAACTGAAAATTATATTTTTGCTCCCTAACTCATGAGCACAAAAGAGGTTTCACTATTTTACTCGTCTCGAGGACAAGTCGAGATAGCTTGGCTTGAATTGGTTTTGGTGTTTTATCTTATTTTTAAAATCTAAGTCCCTATCTGGCGTAGTTATAAATTATATTTTCAGTAGATTTTGTCAAAAAATGATAAAAGTAGTATGTCTCTAGAAATATTTAGTTAAAATTATTTACTGACTTAAAAATTTAAATCTCTGTTAATTCCTTTTGCTTAAAATGTTGATAAAAATTTGAGTCAAAGTCAACAATTAATTTTAATAATATATTTTATAGGACATTCAATTTTTTATTAACTTTTCAATATCATATTTTATTATTTTTTATCAAAATATATTAAAAAACTGATTTTTAGCAAAATCAAACATGTACTAATTTTGGTGATTTATCCTATTTTAAAATATAAGTAAAGTGCACGTTTTGGTGATTTATCTTATTTTAAAAATCTGCCTTATCTAGTAAATATTATCAGTTTTTCAGTAGATTTTGATAAAAGTAATGAAATGTGTATTTGAAAAGTTGTGAATTCCTTATTTATGTTAAAAATTAATTGTTGACTTTAACTTATACTAAAATTAATTGAGCCCATATTTATTGAAAAATGTATTTTTGAATAGTAGATTGATATAGAATGTGTCGTTAAAAAATAAGGAAAAATTTTGAATTTACGTGTAATAATATTTTATTGAAGGATGCGTGGTTGAAATGAAGATAGGGAAAAATGTATTTTAGAAACAATGTGAATTAAACGAGGCCTTAGAGTACGTTTGATTTGCAGTTTTCAATCTATTTGCAGTTTTGTAAAATACTAAAAACATGTTTGATCCGATATTTTTAAAAATGCATTTCAAAAATAAGATTAAAATTATAATATAAAACTCAAAATGTGTTTTTGACATTTCGAGTGTTTTCAGCGAAAATTTTGAAAACGCTTAAAAGTGAAAGCAAGCATTTAAATAAAATTCTAAAAATTAAAACTTAAAAAATTAAAATATAAAACTCTCGCAAATAAAATATAAAAATTTTAAAAATATTTTTTTAAAAAAAATTAAAATTCTAAAAATATTTTTTATATTTAAACTTTTTTTTAAAATTCTAAAAATTCTTGAAAATTAAAAATTATAAAAATAAAATTAATTCAAACTTTTAATGATTATTTACATAAAAATTCTATCAAAATGGACACATAAAAATATTCTTAGTCCACGTAATTAATTTTTTTTTCAATATTTTCAACTCGAATTATTATTTGTTTTATTTTACTTTTGTAATGGAAAAAAATTGTAAGATTCATCAACTTTAAAAATGTATATATTACTTGATAATATATTAGCATAAAATTTTTCTTTTTTTATTGAATAATAAAATTTTCATGGAATAAAACGTTATAAAAATAATTTTTTTTTTCAAAANTTCATGGAATAAAACGTTATAAAAATAATTTTTCTTTTTCAAAATTTCAAACCAAATGTGTTTTATAATTTTTTGTTTTAAGAAATAATTTTTTAACATGACGAATTAAATGTATTTTTAGTAATCTTAAAATAAACACTCAAAAAAGTAAAAATAAAAATAAATTCAAAACTCAAACACAAATCAAATGGGCTCTTATTTTTGTTTCAAATACGTTTCCAACTACTCATTCTCGAAATAAAATAATTTTACACACAAACATTTTTCTTTTTAACCACATATTTTACAAAAAAAAATCACTATTATAAAATCTATTAACCCAAAAAAAGTTGTCTCAAAACAAATATAAACGTGCATAATAGTTCAAACACGCTTTTACAAAATTGCGGAAAAAAGAAACCTAGATATTGAAATCTTATAGAGAACTTTTACTAAATAAAAATTAAATTTAGAATTTGTTAAGCCATAAGTCGTATCAAATCTAGAAGCTGGGCCCAAGTGCCAGACTCAAAAAATACACATTTTTAATATTTTTACATTGTAGTATGTCTTCATGTCTATAGTTATTGAGTTTTCTTGATTATCAAAATTTTGGCAAATTTTGGTAAAAATTAATGAATATATGATTAAAAAATTGATAAAAGTTGTGATACTATGAAATGTGTTATTAAAATTAATTGTTTACTTTATCTTAAAACCTTTTAGCAACTTTTTAAGTTGTTCCAAACAAGCACTATATATACACACACACTGTGACACACGCGCGTGCTTGTACATATGTATGCATGTGGCACTTTTTGAGAAGTTTACTGATAAATTTTGTTACATGTCTTTCTTCCTCGAACAATTATATTTCCTGGCTGGTTTTGATCCAGAATGTTTATTACTTTTTGTGTAAACTTCAAGAACCTTGTGTATTTATCAATAGTTTAGACTGGATGGTGCTAGACAAGATTAAAGAACAAAACGAAGTTAAAATCTTATTCATTGGTCACCAGTTCGAGTCCCTTCAAGGCTATTGAAGTGAGTACCCGGCCGTAAATCTTAGGGCATCGTGGAATTAGTCGAAGTGTACACAAGCTGACCCGGACATCCACGGTTATCAGAAAAAAAAGAATCTTATTCGTTATTTAGTTTAGTGCCGTCCATGTCTTTATTTTCTTACCTAGCTAGACTTGTCACGCTCTAAAAATAAGTTAAAATCTTATTGGTTATCCCATCGCGTCCATGATTTTAGTTTCTTAAATATGAGCTAAACCTTGGTCTCTCTTCTTCATCCTCATCTTTCTGAGTTAGTTTCCATAGAAAGAGATGGGTTTCTGGTCACTTCTGGAGGTGGCATCTATGCCAAATTTGCAGATACTTTTAATTTGTTTACTAGGAGCTTTCATGGCTACTGATTATCTCAAACTTCTTTCTCCTGATGCCAGAAGATCTATGAATAGAGTAAATAGCTGAATTTCAATGCAATATGTGTGTGAATATAGTACATATTAGCATTTTCAAATCTAAATTTTGGCACTGCAGATTGTGTTCGTGGTCTTCACTCCGTCACTTTCGTTCTCAAGTCTGGCAAAGTCTGTCACCCTTCAAGACCTCATCTCGTGGTATAAATATGTTGTGAGAAATTCTAGGATGAGTCGAATCTCGTACTTTGTAATCTCATACGTGTCTCGTATCTCTGACGGTTTAGTAAAAACTTTTAGATGAGTAGTACAACAGATACATGATCTTTGTCAGCTCTGATTTCTAACTTTTCTTCTTCTTCAAAATTCTCCAGGTGGTTTATGCCTGTTAATATTGGCTTAACCTTTCTATTTGGAGGAATTCTTGGATGGATTGCGGTCAAAATATTAAGGCCAGAGCCACATCTAGAGGGCCTTATTATTGCCACATGTTCAGCAGGTAAATACGACTCGACACTATAAAACAGTAGATTCAAGTTAATTATGTTTCAGAATTCTAGTATTTATCAGCTGCTGACTTATAATCCTTAAAAATAGGAAACTTGGGAAACCTTTTATTGATACTTGTCCCTGCAATCTGCAAGGAAGATGGAAATCCATTTGGTGATCACAATGTCTGTGCTTCTGTTGGATTCTCATACGTATCGTTATCGATGTCTGTAAGAAATCTTACTTGTTTCTCTCCTTTCAAGAGAATCGTCTGAAAATTTCGAAGAAATTAATGTTACAATGTCTTTCTAAGCCCCGTCAAATCCCAGGCTCGACCCTGGAGCATGGACTCGGGTTATGAGATGAGATCTCCCTCGATTTCCTGATCTCTTCTTCTCCTTTAAGGAACATTAGGTGAAATTAACAGAATAATCAACAACATAAATGTTATATTTCAAACTTTATAAGCGAAAATAGAAGAAGGGCATATTTATTTTTTAAAGGATGGTTCTTTAAAAAATGTCTTTTAATAGCTCTATGAAGTGAAAACTGTGGTTTTTCACTGAATCAAAATAAGTACTCTGTTAATCTTGATGTTAATGGTAGGATTGAAGAACGACAATGAATCAGTGCATATTTGGTAAGAGGGATCGGATACCATTAAGAGAGAGTTAAAATATTGTAGGAAAATCCCATCAAAAAAAAAAATTGTAGGAAAAGAAAGTATTCTTGCGACAAGTAATTTTTTAAACTTCAGAGAAAGTACCGTGACAAATGGCTTAAATTCGCAGCTCGGTAGCATCTTCATATGGACTCACACTTATCATTTGATACGAAATTCTGCTAAGAAGTATAAGGCGACGAATGCTGCTGAGGAGTCATCCAAGAAACCCAACACGGATTTAGATGCTAATGAGTCGTCAAATCTTCTTGACAGAGGAGAAGAGCATGTTTCTATAACCATGTCAACAACAAAATCTCGGGGAGATGACACACATGATACTGTTAGTCACTGTGTTGATAACATTATATTTCGCAACATTCTAAGTTGTAGAAAATATTAGTATTGACTACCGTATCATCTCATTTGAGAGTCTTAAGTTAGATTATCCACAGATTGAGTCGAGTGGATCAGACGGAAAGCTCGTTACACAGAAGGCATCAACGAGGAGCAGGTTATCGGGAATTTTTCATCAGATAGTGGAGGAGCTACTTGCACCTCCTACCCTTGGTGCAGTGAGTTCTGCATACTTGTGGCATGTTATCTATGCAGGACAATATTGAAAAGAAAATAGTAATAAATTTTGACTATTTCTCAATCTAATTTCAGATTATTGGATTAATCTTTGGGGCAATTACATGGCTCAAAAACCTTATTATTGGTGAAGGTGCTCCACTTAGATTTATCCAGGATTCTCTAAAATTACTCGGGTAAGTTTAGTTACTTCAAATCTTCCAATAGATATAGCTACGAACTAAAACTTGGGTGCAAGAAAAATTTATCTAGAATAAAGATTAGTTCGTTGTCGTCGTTGAAACAGTTTCACAGAACAACCATAAATGCCTTAGCTAACGCTGCAAACCACTGTTTCTGTAGGGATGGAACCGTCCCCTGCATGACCCTTATACTTGGAGGCAACCTAACACAAGGTATATAGACCCCCATTTCTAATTCCAAATTTAAAACAATATCCGAGAGAAGCAAATTATCTAAACATGTTCGGAAATAAAGTTTATTTAAAGTGACTTTTACTTACTTTTAAGCTTAACAGAATTAAGAACTGAACAGGTTTATTCAAGGCGAGTTTGCGACCGCTTGTCATCGTAGCAGTCATCTTCGTACGCTATGTGATACTTCCTGCAGTCGGGATTGGTATCGTTAAAGTAGCTGCTCATTTTGGCTTGCTTGCAGCAGATCCACTCTACCATTTTATGCTGATGATTCAATACAGTCTCCCGCCCGCAATGAGCATTGGTACGAAGTTCTGAACCATAATGTCTAGTATACAAGTATTTTTCTGTTCATCATTGCTGTCGAGAGTAGAAAGCGTTCAATGCACGAGAATTTGAAGTTAGGGCTAGGCATGAAAGCATGTACCATTTTACTTCCGACGGAAGAAGCTCACAGGACGGGGATGATGCATGCAGGTACTATGACACAACTCTTTGATGTGGCTCAAGAGGAGTGTTCAGTACTGTTTCTATGGACTTACGTGGTTGCAGCCATTTCACTGACAGTTTGGTCTACTGTCATCATGTGGAAGAACAGGACTTCCTTCCTAAGCTGAATCAATATATTCAAGAATTGGGATTTTGTTTGTCAAAGAGAATAAAATAAGAGAGAATTGGGATTTCGTCCATATATATATAGCGAGGCAAATCAAATGTGATGCAAGAAAGTAAAAAAAGCCTTCGATGGAATCAGACTTCAGTATTGTTTTCCCATTACTGATATATTCTTCTGGTTTAATATTTTGCATCAGAATAAACGTAGAAATTCACTCACTAGCATTATTAACTAATAGAAAAATGATTTCTTTTGTGGTAAGTGGTAACCTGGGTAAGACTTCACATAAAAAAATGTCTGTTCTTTCCTGGAACGATTTTTTATTTATTTATTTTTTAAATTCTCCTACTAAACTAACAAGAAGTAACAAATTAAGCTTCTATTCCAACACGGTATGAAAATGGCAACATACAGAATGGCAGAAAAATATATGATACTTTGCCCTCTTTAGAAAAACAACATGATATATATATATATATATTGTTGGGTGTTCCCTCCACCCGAGGGAAATTAATTTTTGTGGGAAGTGGGGACCACTTTCCACTTTGACCCAAAACAGTACAAAAGACAAGAAAACAGAGACAAAAAAATATACTTCCAAAACAGAGAGAAAAGATCGAGAAAAAGGGACATGGGTTTCAGTTCTTCTTGCCAATGATCGAGGCTCATTTGTGGTATGATTAAACTGAAATTTCAGTATGTTTTTCTTGGCAAAGAGAGTTACGTTTTGACTGGAGCTGATTCTTCAGATTCCTCTCCATTTCACTGGATAGTACACACTTGTTTAGTTAGATTTTCTCCTTGTTATTGTGTGTATCTATTTTGGGAATGATGTTGTTGTTGATATCCAAGAACTATATGCGTTCTTGATGTATTGGTAGCCTTTGAAGTTTTATCTCTGGAGAAGATTGACCGTGTATCCCATTATTTTCATAGAGGAAGACTTTGACTGGACTAGGTCTGGGGTTTTTCCCTTCACACTAAAGGGTTTCCTCGTAAACGGATTCATGTGTTCAACTGTTTATTTATTGCAGAGCGTGTGAGTTATTGAAGCCAGGTATTATTATTATTATGATTATTATTATTATTGTCATTTTAACTGTGCACCATTGAGGGGTTGAGGATACTTTTTTTTTCGCTGCCTGCTGGTTTGCTTTATTGGTTCAATCCCTACACACACAAACACTAATCATCATTAAGTAGATTGAGTAAAAAATATTGGATTCAATCGCTCTATGAGCACCATAAATGGTACTATGAGGCATTAAGGGACTATGAGTATGAACGGCTTATAGAGTGATCTACTACCACCATCACATTTATATATTCCTAAACTTTTTTTCAATCTTATTTTTACCTTTGATGTTTTAATAACTAAAAATCTTGTCTTAATCACAATTTTGTCCAAAAGACCGTTAGCCTATTTTAAAACAAGGGACAAATATTTAGTCTTATTTATATTTTTTTGAACTTATTTAAAAATATAAGAGACAAATAAGTCTTTTTTACTCAATTTAACTAATTTTTAAATAAAAACTATCATCAGGGAGAACTTGTTTTAATTCAAGAAAAAAAAATACAATTAATAAAAATTAAGGACACAAATGTGATAATAAGTAAAAGTTATCGATCTTTTATGCAATTGAGATATTTTAGTGACACCCTTTTTCACTTCTACTCACATGGGGGTGAGACTCATGTGCATTAAAAAAAGGAAAATTCCCTGAGTACAGGGGATTTTACCAGAAAATGTTCATAGCCTTTGATTTTTTTTTCCCGCTTTTTTGTATAAATCCTAGCCTTCGATTTCAAAAATCTGGCAATTGTCTGGCAAATCTTTCTGTACCTAGCACGATTCTTTAAAAAATGTCAGCAACCCCCATGAGGGGGCCGGTCAACTGGTCAACCTCTTCTGGCAACATAGCAAGGTTCCTAAAACTATCGTTATGAATATTTGAGCATTCTTTTATTCGCAAGCAAATGCGTTCCAACCAGAACTGAACAGACTACTCTTTTTGCTCCGTATTTTTCGCACCTCTTTCTCTATCTTCTCTAGGGTTCTGTGATTAGGGATCCGCCAACATGGCGGCGGTCGCTGCCCCTCTGGTGGTGGCCACACCAGTGGGTGCCGTTGTAAGGCGGGGATCCAGGCCCAATTTCATACGCACAGGCAATCCAAAAACCAACTGCTTCTACCACTTTCAAATTACCTCTACGCTATCCCACAGACATTGACTGAGAGAAGGACTTCATTTTTTTCCGAGCAGGAGATGTCTAAGCAGCTGAAGATTTCCGATTTGCTTTGGTTTTAAAGTTTCTCCAGTCACGACCCTCCATTGATGTGATCCGTATGACAATCATCAAAACATGGGGTTTATCTGAAATACCTACGGTGAGTTTTACGGACGATTTCCATGTACTTATTCAGATGAAAAAAGAGAAGGATTTTATACATAGTTGGGGCGAGAGAAGGTAGGTCATTGGCTGGCTATTTGTTCCGTTTATTCAGATGGACTAAGGAATTTAATCTCGAGAAAGAACCTTCGCTTGCAGCACAATGGATCTTTCTTCCAGGACTCCCTCTGCATCTGTACCGAGTTGACTGCCTACAGATCCTTGCCACGAGTTTCGGTAGATATCTAGGCATGAATAATGCAACCTTAAACAGAACTAGGGCGACAGGTGCACGTATTTATGTAGAGGTGGACCTTAAGGAGGAACCAATACAAGGATTTCCAATTGTTATGGCCTTAAAAAAGTTATGGCAGGAGGCTAGATATGAAAGGCATGGATTCTACTGCTCCAAATGTTCTCGACAGGGGTATACAGCTATCGTTTGTCGTGCTGGAAAAATTCACAAGAGGGAGATTGTGCATGTGGGAAAACAGGGAATAAGAAGAGAGATCTGGCGTATTAAACAGAGCAACGAACATGATGCGGGAGCTAACACTAAGCAGACAAATGATTTGATGGAAAATTCTGGGATTAATGTAGAGACGTTGGCTATTGTCAAAGAAACAGAACCACAACAACTTGAGGCTGTTCACTCGAAGGGAGACACTAATCTGGATAGAGTTGATAGAGATATGAGAAAGGAATGGGAAATAAGACATAAAGCTGATTATCTGACAGAACAACACAAGGAAGGTAATATGCATGAAGAAGGCTCATTTGAACAGATCCAGGACAGGATGGGGATTTGAAAAATAGAAAGACTAGGAAAGAAGCTGAAGTACATAACAATTTTGAAAACAATAATGCTACTGAGACGGTCAAAAACAGGGTCAAAAACAGGGATTTAAAATAGGACACGTGTCGTCGTCTGGTGAGTTGGAGGGAAAATGGCCCAATGATGTACTTGTTTGGTTCAGCAATTGTTTGGTGTTTTTGCAAAACCCACCAAAACGTCTCCCTCCATATTTCCCCCAAAAACCACTTTTTTCCCCAAATCACCAACTGGCCGGAAATGCCGTCGAAATCTCCGTCTCCGGCGAGACTCGAAACCCACTCCCAGTAAGACGCGCGTTCTCCCTCCATCTCCAACGTCGACACCCACTCCCAGTGAAGCTCAAACCCGCCACTAAGGAGTCCGGCCCCGGCGACCGCAGCTCACTCACCTCCACCGTCCCCCTATTTCGTCGACGTCAGGTACGGGAACCCTCTTTACCCTCCCCCATTTTCACCCTTTATTTTCGACCGAAACTTTATGTGAGTTTTATAGATATGAACGTAAGTTGCATTATTTTCACCCTATCTCTCTTAGCAGCACCATTATCCTAGTGTACAGAAGGATTTTTTTTTTGTTGCTTCTGATCGATCTGCCAAAGTTCAATTTGATCAGGTTATAGCAGTATAAGTATTATATGTTCCAATTTTGATTGCAATATCTCTGCAAAAATACATTTATGACATGTTAGGTAGGACGGATTGGATAATCCTATACCATTTAAATTAGAAATAAGAAATTTTGTCCATTGCCTATTATGGCCAATGGTGCATACAAATTGGCTTTCGCCTCTGGTTATGCTATGTCAGTGGCAGTAATGCCTATTAATCATAGAATATGATTGGAAATAGGCATACAGCTGAATATTAGGACTGTAATTGGAGGAAATTTTACCTTCATTTTTTCCCTTTTGTTATGTTGGAAACTACGGATTTGCCGTGCGTGTCGAATGGTGTTGCTTTTCAAAACAATGATTTGCAAAGATCCCTAGTGTTAGGATTTCCACTCTTTCCTATTTTGTCTTCTTGCCTTTTTCTTAGTGCCTTAAGAGGAATCAAGTTAGTGCCGTGAATTTTATAGTATTCGATATACTATTTTTTCCCTTCAACTACGACATTTTCTATTTCTTGAACTAGTAATTGATTGTATGACGATGGGATTGAGACTGATGTTGTTATGTAATTTGCAGAACAATTACCACTTTCAAATGTCATGCACGTGCCCGCGGGGAATGTACTGTGTAGTTCGGAAGGTATGTACATGTATTGCTTTATGAATTTAATGTTTACATTTCATGAATGCGATGTTAACTACTTCATATGGTATTTTATTGTAGGTCAAGCAGTCCCGTACTATTACCAAACCGTAATTGACGAAGGAAGCAGAGATCATGCGTTGCCATAACGAAAATGAAGAACTTCCAGTGATGAACAATGTTTTAAACTAAACAGTGTTTTATGATGCCTTTCTATTTCGCATTTCTATTTTGTGGAAGTGTAGGCTGTGATTTTGATTTATGATCTAAGTAGACAAAATAACCTGTCTAACAGATAGGAAGCTGAATAGTAAAACCTTTTCATTTTTAAGTAATTTAGCTTCTTAGGAACTAGGATTTTAATCTCAGTACATTTGAGCATTTGTTATATTTTTGTAGATTTTGCAACTTGGTTTTCTGATTTGGAGTGTTTACATTTTCTTACAGGAATTAAATTGATTGCTTCTAGATGTACTAGATCGAACATGGGCAGTCTTAAGTAGATTGTATATTTTGCTATTGACAGATCTCTAAGATTGAAGTTTCAGTGTTCTCGGCAAAGGAAGAGAGGCCTCTTGATTCAGATCAAGTTAGAAAACGTTATATTGAGACTTCTTGTTAAATAGTTATTTTGGTTAACAAGGAAGCCAATCAGCAGATTGCATTTGGACACAAAAAACATATCCATTTGCCTTTTTCCAGTGATGCACCGGTGGGGAAAGGGGGAAAAACTTCAGTATGGATTTGCCATGGTTAAGAAATGGCAAAGTAATTGACTTGTAAATTGCAATCACAAAGAGGATCACTAATTATTCTCCTATTTCTTCCTATTGCTACGTGATATGGGAAGAATTGGATAGAAGATGAAGTGGTAGAACTCACCATTTATAATTTCATAAAATCTCAACTAAATACACAGTTTTGCCTTCAACTCCAAGTAGTCAGATTTTTCTTGTACAGTTAAGAACCAAGGGTTTGAAACATGATGGGAATTAAGCAATAAAACACTAATTCAGATTACATAGAATTTAGAGTGTGTTTGGTAGAGATTTTTGGGGGAAGAATTGATTTTTGAATAGTGATATGATGTGAAATGTGTGGTTGAAAAAGAAGAAAAAAGTATTGATGTGATGGAAATTATTATTTTATTGATGAATGTGTGGTTGAAAATTAGTAGAAGAATGAGAATGAAAAAAGAATGGTTACCAAACGGTGCCTAAATGTCANGATACTTTTTTTTTCGCTGCCTGCTGGTTTGCTTTATTGGTTCAATCCCTACACACACAAACACTAATCATCATTAAGTAGATTGAGTAAAAAATATTGGATTCAATCGCTCTATGAGCACCATAAATGGTACTATGAGGCATTAAGGGACTATGAGTATGAACGGCTTATAGAGTGATCTACTACCACCATCACATTTATATATTCCTAAACTTTTTTTCAATCTTATTTTTACCTTTGATGTTTTAATAACTAAAAATCTTGTCTTAATCACAATTTTGTCCAAAAGACCGTTAGCCTATTTTAAAACAAGGGACAAATATTTAGTCTTATTTATATTTTTTTGAACTTATTTAAAAATATAAGAGACAAATAAGTCTTTTTTACTCAATTTAACTAATTTTTAAATAAAAACTATCATCAGGGAGAACTTGTTTTAATTCAAGAAAAAAAAATACAATTAATAAAAATTAAGGACACAAATGTGATAATAAGTAAAAGTTATCGATCTTTTATGCAATTGAGATATTTTAGTGACACCCTTTTTCACTTCTACTCACATGGGGGTGAGACTCATGTGCATTAAAAAAAGGACAGGGAATTTTACCAGAAAATGTTCCTAGCTTTTGATTTTTTTTTTCACGCTTTTTTGTATAAATTCTGACATTCGATTTCAAAAATCTGGCAATTGTCTGGCAAATCTTTCTGTACCTATAGCACGATTCTTTAAAAAATGTCAGCAACCCCCATGAGGGGGCCGGTCAACTGGTCAACCTCTTCTGGCAACATAGCAAGGTTCCTAAAACTATCGTTATGAATATTTGAGCATTCTTTTATTCGCAAGCAAATGCGTTCCAACCAGAACTGAAAAGGGAAAGGAACAGACTACTCTTTTTGCTCCGTATTTTTCGCACCTCTTTCTCTATCTTCTCTAGGGTTCTGCGATTAGGGATCCGCCAACATGGCGGCGGTCGCTGCCCCTCTGGTGGTGGCCACACCAGTGGGTGCCGTTGTAAGGCGGGGATCCAGGCCCAATTTCATACGCACAGGCAATCCAAAAACCAACTGCTTCTACCACTTTCAAATTACCTCTACGCTATCCCACAGACATTGACTGAGAGAAGGACTTCATTTTTTTCCGAGCAGGAGATGTCTAAGCAGCTGAAGATTTCCGATTTGCTTTGGTTTTAAAGTTTCTCCAGTCACGACCCTCCATTGATGTGATCCGTATGACAATCATCAAAACATGGGGTTTATCTGAAATACCTACGGTGAGTTTTACGGACGATTTCCATGTACTTATTCAGATGAAAAAAGAGAAGGATTTTATACATAGTTGGGGCGAGAGAAGGTAGGTCATTGGCTGGCTATTTGTTCCGTTTATTCAGATGGACTAAGGAATTTAATCTCGAGAAAGAACCTTCGCTTGCAGCACAATGGATCTTTCTTCCAGGACTCCCTCTGCATCTGTACCGAGTTGACTGCCTACAGATCCTTGCCACGAGTTTCGGTAGATATCTAGGCATGAATAATGCAACCTTAAACAGAACTAGGGCGACAGGTGCACGTATTTATGTAGAGGTGGACCTTAAGGAGGAACCAATACAAGGATTTCCAATTGTTATGGCCTTAAAAAAGTTATGGCAGGAGGCTAGATATGAAAGGCATGGATTCTACTGCTCCAAATGTTCTCGACAGGGGTATACAGCTATCGTTTGTCGTGCTGGAAAAATTCACAAGAGGGAGATTGTGCATGTGGGAAAACAGGGAATAAGAAGAGAGATCTGGCGTATTAAACAGAGCAACGAACATGATGCGGGAGCTAACACTAAGCAGACAAATGATTTGATGGAAAATTCTGGGATTAATGTAGAGACGTTGGCTATTGTCAAAGAAACAGAACCACAACAACTTGAGGCTGTTCACTCGAAGGGAGACACTAATCTGGATAGAGTTGATAGAGATATGAGAAAGGAATGGGAAATAAGACATAAAGCTGATTATCTGACAGAACAACACAAGGAAGGTAATATGCATGAAGAAGGCTCATTTGAACAGATCCAGGACAGGATGGGGATTTGAAAAATAGAAAGACTAGGAAAGAAGCTGAAGTACATAACAATTTTGAAAAAGATAATTTTACTGAACAGGACAGGGAAATGGAGAATGCTATAGGTTCAATGGCTGCTTCTAGAGCCATTATGCAATATTCACATTTGGCTAAGGAAGTTGGGGAGGCAGTAGAGGTCTTTGCGGAGGATGTGGTGATGGAGCTAAGGGAATCAGAATTACAGAGTGATGATCATGCTACAGTGGTGACAGAGGTGCTGAAGTTGGAAAACGTAACCCAACCGCAGACTAAAAGTTCAGAGGATATAGAAGTCCCTTCTTTATCTGAGACACTTTCGGATGGGGAGGAGGAAAATCTATTGAGGAGTTTGAGAAAGGATAAAGGCTACAGTTCCAACATAGATGTGAATTTTTCTTTGGCTAAGACTAACAAACAAGCGACTAAGGTAACGAGGACATCACAACGTGTGAGTAGTCGTCCTTCCAAACTGAATTTATGATAGACACAATTTTAGTTTGGAATGTGCCAGGTATATGCACATCTAGAAAGAGGTTAAAAAGTTTGGTTTGTAAACATAATGTTCATTTTCTTATGATTTCGGAACCTTTTGTGGATGAAAGTCGGATGCAAAAAGTAGCAGATTTCCTAGGCTTCGACAATTTCTATTCGAATGAAGCTATGGGTGGTAAAATCTGGGTTTTTTGGAATAATAATTATGAGTTTGAAGTTGTTGGCATGTCTGATCAAATGGTGACATGATGGTTTTGTGATGAACGAAAGAAATTCCTAACTTCTTTTGTATATGCAAAATATAGTCAAAGTGAACGTAGAGAACTTTGGAAGAACATGGAGCATTTTCAAACTGATGACTATCCATGGATAGTGGCAGTAGATTTTAACATTATTCCTGAGGATGGGGAAAGAATTGGGGGTCATCCAAGATCTTTGTCAGCGATGGTGGAATTTAATTCTTGCCTTGACAATTGTGGTCTAGTGGAGATGAGAGCACATGGTAGAAGTATGTCTTGGTGTAATGGTCGAAGTGGTCAAGTAAGGAGCTGGGCCAAGCTGGATAGGATGATGGTGAACTCAGTGTTCTTGAATGAACATAATTCATGTGAAATGGAGCTTCTAGCCAAGAAAAGTTCTGATCATTGTCCTACGTTAATTCATTTTAACAAGGCTTTCTTGAGGTATGGCCCATCACCTTTTAGATTCAGAATATGTGGAGTACTCATGACACTTTCAAACATATGGTTACTTTGGTTTGGAAAGAGCCGGAGAATAGTGTGGGACTTTGGAAGTTGACAGCTAAATTAAAAAAAACAAAGCTGGCTCTGCGAAGTTGGAATAAACAAGTTTTTGGCCATGTTACGCACCACATGAAGGAGCTGGAGGAAAAAGTTGAGGTGCTGGAAAATCAGTGGCAAATGTGGTTTTAATCCGAATTTAGAGATTAAATTTCTTATCACTAAGGTTAGGCTTCAGCTTTGGGAAAATAGGGAGGAGACTAGACTAGCACAAAAGGCAAAGAAGAAATGGCTTGCAGAAGGTGACCAAAATTCAAAAAAATTTCATGCAGTTGTTAATCAAAAGAGAAGGTCTTCCCATATCTCTTCCATGCGTTTGACTGATAAGACAGTATTAGCTTCCCCAGAAAAGGTTCATGATGGTGCTGTTAATTATTTTGAACATATTTTGCGTGATAATGGGACAAGTGAGCACGGTGATTTGGCTTCCCTTAATTTCTGCAGTTGTATCAGTGGAGGACAATGAATTTCTGTGCGTGGAACCAATGGAAGAAGAGGTGACGGATGCAATTTTTTCTATACCAGCAGAGAGTAGCCCTGGGCCTGATGGATTTGGAGCCAGTTTTTATACATCTTGTTGGGATTTAGTGAAGGCTGACTTGGTGGAGGCAGCTAGAGAATTTTTTAGGGGTAGCTCTCTACCCAGATTTTACACATCTTCATTCATTGTCTTAATCCCGAAAGTTGATAAACCTGGGAGCTTTGAGAAGTTTAGACCTATTAGTCTATGTTATGTGGCTTGCAAAGTTTTTTTCGAAAATCCTCGTCAAGCGAATGACACGGTTGCTCCCAAAGATTGTCTCTCCTGAACAAGGTGCGTTTATCCCAGTGAGAAGTATTTTTGAAAATATCACCCTTACTTAGGAAATGGTCCACTCTTTGAACAGGAAAATCAGAGGTGGTAATGTTATGCTAAAAATCGACATGGAAAAGTATAACGCCCCAATTTCCATTAACACAAAGCGCTACTTAAGTCGAAATATCTTGTAAGTAATTTTCCTCAAGAAATGCCAAAATACGTAAATATCTATTTTTTTCAAAACTATAGCCATTTAACATTAAATGCGGAAACATCATTTGAATAATTTACTCATCCAAAAGTCAATACCAAATATAATAAGTAAAGTGCCACAATTTGCAAAAGATACTAAAATTTGAAATTTAAGACAAAATGGAAACCGGCTATTAATGTACTAGTTTCAAAAATTTATAAATTAAATTGTTTATTATTTAATCATGATTGCCCCGCTCATTGCTTTGCTTTGCCTAGCTCCTTAACTTGAAAGGG